GTAGCTTTGGGTGATAGTCTTAACTGAAGCAAGTGCCATACTGGGCGCGGGCTTTAAGATTAAAACCACGCCCTGCTTACTTCCAGTTCACTCACTCTGCTCTGTGCTTGGGGTTTAAGACGTGAGCGATCAGTTTTCTACCTGCAGCTGTAAGTCCAAATAATGAATGTGGCATGTATTAGAATTACCAGAGGGACTACAGAAGCCCAAACAAACGTTGAGGCTGAGGACAGAGCTCAGGTGGTAGAGAACTTGCCTAGCGTTCACAAACCACACATGGTGGCTCCCACCTGTAGTCCCAGTACCCGTGAAGTTGGCCTGGGTAGTGATTCAGCCAATGTTTTTGTAAACACCCACGTGATTGGGACACATAGGCAAGGCCCAGAGCCCAAGCAGAGTGAGAGCCAAATGTTAACCTTTTCTGTGTTCCCACCATTGCCTTTTGCCTCTGTCACAAAGGACCTTGATTCTTGCTTGACCCCTTGTGGACCTGACCCACTAGAACATTCCTTCTTTTGTGATAACTCTTCAGTTACCACCAATGGGCATGTTCTCTTGGGGTACTGAACTCTGCAGCCTTAGTGGTGGTCTGACTGTGGCCCAGGAGTACTGGATCCAGTCTAGATCTTCAGGGCTACAAAGGAAAGGTGTTTTTCCCCAGAACCAGCTATTCTTGAGAAGCAGTTACTGGTTAGTAAATATCAGCCATGCTTGGGGCATAGGCTCAGGCTCAGGGCTTACTTACTCATTAGCTTCTGTGTATACAGTGCCTGGCACTCACAGTCCTTATTAAGTGTTTTAGTTTCGTTTAAAATCAAAAGAAACAAGGGTTGGGTGATGCAACTCAACAGCTAGAATGCCAGCTGAGAGTACCAGAGGCCCTGGGATGGATCCCCAGAATCCTATAAGGCAGGTTTGGTAGAGGCACACAAGACTGTAGTCCCAGTTACTCCAGAGGACAGAGCTGGAGGAACAGGATCCATCAGGGTAGCTCCAGGCTCACCAGGGCTACATCATGATAATAACAACAAATCCAGCCTGAGGCATTTGGTTCCTATGTCAGCACACTTGTCAAATATGTTTTAATTTATTAATGGGAGTATGGAAAGATGGATGTGTCCAGTGTGTGCCTATGTACAGCACCAGGTCCCAGAGGATGCTGGTGACTCTGTCTTCTGTCCCCTCCCTGAATATGGCTTGTGCTGGAGGGAATGAGGACAGGGAGTGTTTCTGATAGGCTTTCTGCGCACCAGGCTCTGGAGCAAACAAAAGCATGAAGCCAGCCCTGGCCTAGCTGGAAAGGAAGACATACACACAGGAAGTCCCAAGCAAGGAGGGGCAGGATGTACCACCCCACTGTCATCAGCTCTTACCTCTGTCTCTGCTTGGTTTTGTCGGTTGCATTTGTCACTTAGTCATGTCCTGCTTTGCAGGTCAATGGACTGTTTCAGAGATCAGAATTATTTAATAAACAATTCTTTTGTTGATTTTCTTCCCTTCTGCAAACAATGCTACAATTTGGATGACAAAGTTGTTGTTTCTGGGCATTTGGTTTAGCTGCTTCTGAAGCTTCACCTTGGGGAGAGAGTGCTCAGAAAGGACTGACACGTGTCCATCTGGGACTGTATGCCAGGGGCCAGGAGATGGAGAGTGGGATGTGGCCTTTGTCCCAAATAGAACCGTCTAGATTTTGTGCCAGTACAAGTATTGGTGATTAACGGGTGTTGGTGGCAAATGCCTTTAATCCCAGCACTCGGGAGGCAGAGGCAGGCGGATCTCTGTGAGTTCGAGCCCAGCCGGGTCTCCAGAGCAAGTGCCAGGATAGGCTCCAAAGCTACACAGAGAAACCCTGTCTCGAAAAACCAAAATAAATAAATAAATAAATAAATAAATAAATAAATAAATAAAGTATTGGTGATTCACCATTAGATGACTTTAAAAAGCTGGATGTGGGGGCCATTGAGATGGCTCAGTGGGAAAAGGAGCTTGCCACCAACCTTGATGACCTAAGTTTGATCTCTGGGATTCACATGGCTGAAGGAAAATATCAACTTTGGCAAATTGTCCTCTGACCTCCACACTTGCTTCAGGGCACATATGCCCTCCAAAATTAATTAGAGATAAAAACAAAAATAAAAAATAAAAGAGTTGGGTGTGAGCCAGGCGTTGGTGGCAAATGCCTTTAATCCCAGCACTTGGGAGGCAGAGGCAGGGGGATCTCTGTGAGTTAGAGACCAGCCTGGTCTACAGAACGAGTTCTAGGACAGGTTCCAAAGCAATACAGAGAAACCCTGTCTCGAACCGTCCCTGCCCCCCAAGAAAGTTGGGTATGGCAGAGGACACTGCCTGTAATCCCAGCACTTGGAAGGCTGAGGCAGGAAGATGGTAAATTTGAAGCTAGCCTGAGCTACATAGTGAAACTCTGTCTCAAAACACAACAACAACAACACAGCACAACCAAACCAAACCAAACAAGCAATTGAACAAAAGACCAAATGTTTCTGTGCCTAAGAGTGGACCAGCTTCTGTCTACCTGGGCCTTCCTCTAACACAGTGCTTTTCAATCTTCCTAGTGCTTCAAATCTTTAATACAGTTCCTCATGTTGTGGTGAGCCCTAACCATAAAGTTACTTTTGTTGCTACTTCATAACTGTAACTTTGCTACTGTTACGAATTGTAATGTAAACATTTGTGTTTTCCAAGAACTGCTGCTCTAGAGGCATGTATCCATCTTTACCAGGTATATCCCCAGATGGTCTCACATGGTAGCCTAGCACAGCCTGGAAGTCACAGGAATCCTCCTGTCTCATGACAAGCAGGTACCACCAATGCCCAGCTTTATTGTACATCTTTCCAAAGACTGTTTGTGCATCTGTAAACACAATTTTGGGCTGGGGGCAGGTTAAGACAGGTTTTCACTGTGTAGCCATGGCTATGCTGGAACTCTGCAGACCAGGCTGACCTCGAACACACAGAGATCCACTTGCTTCTACCTTCCAAGTGCTGGGATTGAAGGCGGGTGCCACCACTGCCCTGCCTGAATTTTTTTTTTTTTAATTGAAACAAGTAGTATACAGTGGCATACATCTATAGTCTTAGTGACCAAGAAGCAGAGACAAGGGGATCAAAAGCTAAGCCATCCTCAGCTACACAGTGAGTCAATGGCCAGCCTGGGTTACATTAAACCCTGTTTCAAAAGTGGAACAAAAAATAAAAATGAATGTGAAGATTAGTATAGTGAGGCTGCTCAATAGTTAGAGCACATCTCTAACACTCACATGGGTTAAGTACCTAGGACAGCGGGAGTGGACCTGTAGCATTGTGGTCAATCCTTAGCTTTTTTCGTTCGTCTGTCCTTCCTTCCTTCCTTTCTTTCTTTCTTTCTTTCTTTCTTTCTTTCTTTCTTTCTTTCTTCCTTCCTTCCTCTCTCCCTCTCTCTCTCTCTTTCTTTTTCTCTCTCTTTCTCTCTCTTTCTTTTCTTTTCTTCTACATTTTTAAGATTTATTTTATTTTATATTTTAGGGGTATGGATATTTTGCCTATCAGTACATCTGTGTACTATGCTCATGCAGTGCCTGTGGAGGCCAGAAGATGGCAAAGATTCCCTGGAACTAGACTTACAGAAGATTGTGAGCTGCCATGTAGGTGCTGGGAATTTAACCTGGGTCCTCTGGAAGAGCAGCCAGAGGCTGGTGTAGTGGCATACACCTTTAATCCTAGCACTTGAGAGGCAGCAGCTGGTGGATTTCTGTGAGTTCAAGGCCACCTTGATCTACACAGCAAGTTACAGGACAGCCAGAGCTACATCGTAGAGAGACGCTGTCTCAAAACAAACCAACCAAAGAAAAAAATGGTTGCCAGTATTTAAACACTGAGCCCTGACTCCAGCCCCTCCAAAAGTTCTCCCCCCCAAAAAAAGTTCTTTTTACAATTGCTTTCTATCTTGATCTGTTTTTTTCCTTTTCCTTTTTTTTTTTTTTTTTTTTTGGTTTTTTGAGACAGGGTTTCTCTGTGTAGCTTTGGAGCCTCTCCTGGCACTCGATTTGGGGACCAGGCTGGCCTCAAACTCACAGAGATCCACCTGTTTCTGCCTTCCCGAGTGCTGTGATTAAAGGCGTGTGCCACTAACGCCCAGCCTATCTTGATCTTTTATGTTCAGGTGCCTCTTTTTTTTTTCAATAGCTGGATGGTGAACATCATTCTTTAACTAGATATTATATCGATACAATTAAGGTTGTTTTTAATATTCTGTCTTTTATTATAGAATAATGTTTATGGAATGCAACTTCCCACTCTTCAGAAATAGCACAGATGGAAGTGCATCTGTATGGGTGTGATTGGCTGAGAATGAGGACTCAGAAGCCCCCTTCTCCCAGCATTTCTGGGGTGTCCCCAGGGTGCTACATTAGGGGTGTGAAAAGTTATCTCCAGGCCTGGAGAAGAGGGACACATCAATGCCAGGGTCCTGCATGGAAGGGAGGCTTGGTGTTCAGAGAAAAAGGCAGATGGACGACCAATGGGTGTTGGAGAGTGTGTGGGGAGCTCTCTGAGACCAGGAGACAGAGGGAAGAAGAGAGATGCAAGTGAGCTATCTAAGGGCATGGCAGCTAGGAAACCAGCCTTTAATCTCTGGGGGACTGATGGGGGGGGGGTCTCCAGCTGGCAGCCTGGTTAGAAAGGAAGGCAGAAGGTTCTCCATGGTGTGGAGGAGTGATTGACAGTGCACCATTTTACACAGTTCTTCAGGTAATCTAGCCTTTTAAAGCTATGCTCAATGGAAATGTGCTCGAATTCAGCCGTGCATCCATGTCCTTGGATACTTTCTTTTCTTTTTATTTTTTTTAAATAAAGACTTATTTATTTATTATGCATATAGTGTCTGTCGACATATATGCCTGCATGCCAGAAGGGGGTGCTGGATCTTATTACAGATGGTGTGAGCCACCATGTGGTTGCCCGGAATTTGAACTCAGGACCTTTAGAAGAGCAGCCAGTGCTCTTAACCTCTGAGCCATCTCTCCAGCCCCCTTGCATATCTTCTTGCACAGAGGTCATACTAATCTTCTGTGTATGGTTCCAATTTTTAGTATATGTGCTGCCGAATTGAGCACTGGATACTTTCCTATATGAAGATGTCTGAGTTTCCCTGAAGGTTGGGAGAGTAAGGCTTATCTGGAATCAGGTCTTAGGTCAGTCTGGGGTAATGTTCACAGTGGCAGTGACAGTCTAGAGTGGTCTCTCATCTCTGACCAAATATTTATGGGCAGTTTCATTCTACTCCCTGGTATATCTGGATTAGTTTTAATATTCAACATGGAATCTGTTGTAAATAAATATATGTCATAGAGTAGGGAGGGAGCTGAGAGAGGAGAATAAGAAGTGAAACAATTAAAAGCTATTATGTAAATGTATGGAAAGCCAAGCAATTAAAATCTAAAAATATATATTTATTGTATATATTTATATAATATATATATTAAAGAAAATATATCATATAGAAATACATTTCCTGGTGCTGGGGAATGTAGCTCAGTTGGTAGAGTGTTACCTAACATGAAGGAAGTCCTGGGTTTGATTCCTGGCACCTTATAAATCTGCCATGGTGCACTCCGGTAATGCTAATACTGGAAAAGTAGAGGCAGGAAGCTCAGGAATTCAAGTTCATTCTTGTTGTACAACAAGTTCAAGGCCAGCTTGGGCTATATTAGACTGTTTTAAAGGAAGAAAAAATTTCCCAACACTTATGAGTCAAGTCACTTGTCCCAGAAAAATCCCTTAACTTCCCAAGGCCCCAGAACCCTCACTCTGGTTGCTTGAAACCCTTGGTCAGCCTTGGTTGTGATCCCACCATAGCAGGCATTCCAGTCCCCACACATTCCCTGCAGAAAGAGCTGACAGTGGTAACGGCATTGCCCTTTCCTGGAAGTACCCCTTGGGCAGACAGCTACACCTCCAACTGCTTTGCAGTTACTTCCCTCCATGGGTGCAGGTTCTAAGGGTTTTGAAGTTTTTTTACCAGCTTGTTAAGCAGGCAAGTCCCTCCATGAGTCCTTTAGTGAGTCCCTTTGTGAGGCCTGGTCTGCCAGACTCAAAACTCCAAGTGAACCACTTGACAGTAAGAGGGACCCAGCCAAGAGATTAAGAGTTTCCAGCATTGCCACTAATTTAGTGGTCCCACTGCACTGGGTAATAGCTGGCTCTATTCTCACTTTGATAACACGAGCTACAGTTCACTGAATCCTTATTCCATGTCAGACCCTGTGTTTATCTATGTACCTGTGTGTGTATGTAAATGTGTGTGCATGTATGTTGAAGCCTGAGTTCAACATCCTTACTCAGCACAGTCTACTTTTTTTTTTCTTTTTTGATACAGAATCTCTCATTTTCCTGGAACTTGCCAAGTAAAGCTAGTCTGGCTGGCCAGGGAACCCTAGGGCTCCACCTGTCTCTGTCTCCCCTAATTGCTAGGATTACAAGCATGTACCACTATGGTTGTGTTTTGATTTATTTATTTATTTTGTATAGAGTTTCTCTGTGGCTTTGGAAGCTGTCCTGAAACTAACTCTTGTAGACCAGTCTAGGCTCGAATTCACAGAGATCCTCCTGCCTCTGCCTCCCGAGGGCTGGGATCAAAGTCATGCACCACCACTGCCCAGCTATGCCTGTGTTTTAAATTTTTATTAATTTTAATTATGAATATGTGTCCCTTTCTTTTTTCTTTTCTTTTTTGGTTTTGTTTCCCAAGACAGTTTCTCTGTGTAACAGTCCTAGTTGTCCTAGAACTCATAGAGATCCACCTGCCTCTGCCTCCCTAGTGCTGGGATTACAGGCTTGCACCACCACTGCCTGACTGCACATGTGTCTTTTATGTGGGCACACACATGTGAGTACAGGTTCCTGAAGCGGTCACAGATACAGGATCCCCTGGAGCTGGAGTTACAAATGGTTGTGAGCTGCCTGATATGGGTGCTAAGAACTGAACTCAGGTCCTCTGGAAGAGCAGCAATCTGAGTATTTTTTCAGAATGAATCTTCTTTCCAGGCTCCAGACAGTGAACTTCGGTATTCCAAACCACCTTCTAATGTCACACCTTCTAAGACTCAGATTTTTATAAACTAGAAGTGATAGGACAAGCCTGTAACCCCAGTGCTGGGGAGGTGGAGGCAAGAATATTGGAAGTTTTAGGATAACCTGGGTTACCTACTGATTTCTAGGTCAATCTGGGCTTTGTACCAAGACTCCCAGGGAGGAAAAAAAAGAAAGAAAAGGAGAAGGAAAAGGAAAGAGAATTGTGCAGTGCAAAAGAGACATTTGGAGGGAAGCTTAGCTGTAGCATGTTCGCCTCAGAAGTATGATGCCCTAGATTCAATATCCATCTTCATGACTATCATCACCACTACAAAATACCCCCCAGAAAGAAGGAGGAGGAAGAGGAGAAGGGAAGACTCAGGCAGTTTATCTGTAGACAGCCATCTGGTGGAGAATTAGGTTTCCAATCTAGGTCAGCTGGATCTTGTGGACCAGGTTCTTAACCATTAGTCCATCCTGAGACTGTTCCCAGTGCAGGAGACCTGGGTTGGCTAGAATAACACCAGCAACTGGTTCAAGAAGGCTATGGAACACCCCCCCCCCCCACACACACACCATTTAGAGACAGAACAAGGAGGACTCATCCTCTCTGAGAAATGACCATAAGTAACAAACAAATGAAGAAAAAACAAAGGGGAGAAATTAGAAATTGGTTGAATCAATGTGCCTGGTGTCACATGTCCACTGGTGATCCCAAAGTCATTTGAGTTGATACACAGTTAAATAGACTTACTTACTCAACATATATCTTTGTTTGAAAGTGATAAATGTAACTAACATATTCGTGCCTTTGTAGATGTTATTAATTACAAGTGAGTTGAGTGCTGGAGTGGTGGCTCAGAGGTTAAGAGTACTTGTTCCTCTTGTAGAGGTCCTGGGTTCAGTGCCCAGCACCCACATGGAAGCTCACAATCTTTTGAAACTCCAGTTCCAAGGGATTAGGGATTCAACATCTTCTTCTGTCGTTTGAGGGTGCCAAGTATGTATAGGATACACAGACATACATGCAGGCAAACGATTGATTTAAAACATCAAGTAAATAAGTATCTTTGACCTCTAACACTGCATAGAACACAGAGGTGCACGCTTGTAAATTAGCACTTACCAGGTAAGGGAGGAGAAGCAGAAGTTCAAACTCACCCCTGACTATATAACAAGTTAGAGATCAGCCTGGGTTATGTGAGGCCCTATCTCAAAAAAAATTATAAATAAATGCCAATTATTATGGGCTTCATCTTCAAATGTTATTGCAGAGCCTGGACATATGTGTCTTAGCCTTATCTACTGCTCCACTGCTCCCACCCTGGTCCAAGCTGCTGCTGATCACCTAGCTACCTGCAAGTCCTTCTACCAGGCTCCTGCTCTGGCCTGAAGGCTATTCTCTACATGCAGTTAGGAGGAACCTATTAAGACAGAAAGCCAGCCTGAAAGCTAGCCTGGGCTAAGCCGTAGAACACTTGCCTAGCATGCACATGGTCCAGGGTTTGATTCCCAACACTGCAAGTCAATGATATAACCTGGAAAGCAGGTTCTGTCTCTTTTGCTCAGAACCTTCCGTGGCTTCCAGCTGACTTCGAACACAAGCCACAGATCCAGTGATGGCCTGCATGAGCCCACATCTGCCCCCAGTATTTCTCTAACCTCTGTACATCTGTGAAGGCCCTGGAATGTTCTAAACACATGCATCCCAGGCATGCTCCTGCCTCAGGGGATTTGTGCTCATTGCTGACCATTCCTATAGCTTTCTGCAAGCAGACAATGTGATAGAAAGTCGCCCCCCTCACCAACAACTACCACTATGATTTCAATGTCATCACCAAGACCTCAATTTAATTATGTCACTGCTAAAACCTCATTCCCTCACTCCAATGTCACCTTCCCAAGGAAGCCTTCCCTCACATACCTCTTCTGTCTTTCTCCTCTTCTTTCTTTTACTTTGACTGTGGGGACTTTGTTTTCAGTACTCTGTGCATCCTATTTGTTTTGCTGTGGTGTCTCTTCCCACCAGATTCCATGAGCTCTGGAATTATTGGATTTTGCTTATTGCAGGTTTCCCAGCTCTGAGAAGAGGGTGGGTCACCTAGCAGGAACTCAACAAATATCAATGAACCCACAACTCCATTAGAATATATGGGCATTTTTCCCCTAAGAAAGAGTCTGTAGAGCATGTATCAGAGTTTCAGAAGGCTGCCTATCACCTTCAAGTGTGTCCTAACTCTTCTCCTTGGGGTTATGTTGATCAAGTAGATTGCCTTCCAAAGGAGTAGACAAGACCACTTAGCCAGTTGACCCCATGATTAGTCTATAACATTTGAATGTATAATTGTTCTCCATGGAGTAGGCATTTGCATCAGTTTCTGTGCAGTGGGTTATAATGAGTCTTCTGGTCAATTCATTTAGTTATGGCAAGAGGTAGCCAGGCTTCCTTGTAATTTCTTTGTAAACTGTGCTCCTTAGATCCCAATTCCTTTCCACAATCCAGAAGAAGCAAGTTCTAGCCTCTGTGATTTTTGCTGTCTCATGCCTATTAGTGTGGAAACTTCCCAAGGGCAAAAGACCAATTCTCTCTCTCTCTCTCTCTCTCTCTCTCTCTCTCTCTCTCTCTCTTCTTTCTTCCTTCCTTCCTTTCTTTCTTCCTTCCTTTCTTTCTTTCTTTCTTTCTTTCTTTCTTTCTTTCTTTCTTTCTTTCTTTTTTGGTAGAACCAGGTGCATTCTAGCAAGATGCTCACTTACCTGGTTTTGACTCTGCCACCTGCTGGCTGTATGATCAGAAACAACCTAACCTCTGTTTGGGGCACTTAAAAAGAGTCTAGGAAGAAAAAACAAGACCTTCCTTGGTTTGTCAGGAGGATGGGAGAAGATGATGCCTAGGAGGGTTCAGCCGGGCAGGACCTTGAGGATGGGCAACTGGGATCTGCCTTCCTTTTTTCCTCTCTTTCCCCTACATTACACAGAATCGGAACCTGGCAGTTTAGTAGGGTGGAGGTCAGAGCTGTGGCTCCACAAGCCTGCACAGTTGGGCCCTACCGCACACACCCCCTAGTGGCTACAAGGTGTTCCAAGCACTAAGTTGGATGGGCCCAGAGAAGGAGCTGTCCTGCTCTAAGGCTTCTTGTCATTTAATGCCTACTATGATTCCTACTCCCATTTTATAGTGGATAGATAACCCACACTTATCAAGTGGAGAAGAACCATAGCATTGGCCCTGAACTCAGACCTGCCAGACTCTGGTTGCAGTGCAGGAGTGCCGTTCCTAGGTACTGTTCCCACCCTACATCTCCCAGTGAGCAAGTGCCAAGTTAGCAGCCCTCTTATTTATTCCTTTGTTTGATTATTTATTTAGTGTGTGTTTATGGTATATGTGTTATGGGTGTGTACATGTGTGAGGCCAGAGGCTGACATTGGGTGTCTTTTTGATCACTCTCCACCTTATTTTTTTGAGACAGGGTCTCTCACTGAACCTAGAGTTCATTCATTCAGCCAGCCTGGCTGGCTGGTCAGAGAGCTTCAGGCATCTGCCTTTCTCTGTCCCAGTCTCCCCAATTCTGGGTTGTGGACCAGAACACCGCTGTGACTGGCTTTTTTATTTATTTATTTATTATGTATACAACATTTTGTTTCCATGTATATCTGCACACCAGAAGAGGACACCAGATCTCATTACAGATGATTGTGAGCCACCATGTGGTTGCTGGGAATTGAACTCAGGACCTCTGGAAGAGCAGTCAGTGCTCTTAACCTCTGAGCCATCTCTCTAGCCCCGTGACTGGCTTTTTACATGGACCTCTAGACATCCAAATCCAAACCATCTCTCCAGCTCCTTGCTTAAGGTAGCAGGATTCTTGAGGGCCTGCTTTAGTCTCTCCTGACATGTTATATCTCAGGGACATTTCAGGAAGAGATGTTTGTGCTAGGAGTAAGGGGCAGGAGGGACAAAAGCCTCAATTCATATCCTTCTCCAAGGCTGGGGGTATGGGAACCCTTTTGGAAGTATCCATCTCTACCACGAGGGAGGCTTTTTGGATTGTCTACAGGCAGGGAAGTCCTCCTTCAGGAGTCTTGGTGTCTTTTCTTCCCACGGAACTCACTCTTTTCTTGGCCAAACTGGCTGGGTTCAAATCACACCCTTGCCAGTAATGACAGCTTGTGCAGGCTATTCTGTCCAAGGCCTTGTACCTTAGTTTTCTATATAATGTTGGTTGTCAACCATCTTCATCCCCAGAGCACTGTATTGGGGAGTTGTGGCTTCTTACCACATGTTGATCCAGCAGGTCTAAGAGAGGCAGTACCTTGCACCACATTTTTGAAACCACTCCCCTAAAAGGTATGCTGTGACAACACAAGGGTACACACCTCTTCCAGCTGTTGGGGGTAAGAGCACAGCTGGTACATGCCTCTCTGGTTTTGGTCTTAGTGCTCTCAATGTGGCAAATTAAGTGAGCAAGCTTCTGTGCCTCGGTTTCCTCATCTGCACACAGAGAAAATAAAACTGGTGAGGATGTAAGATGCAAGTGAAAAAAAAATACATGCTGGTTAAGCTTGAAACTTCTGTTACCAAGGTAAAGAGATTAAAACATCTGCCATTATTGTAACCTGGAGCCAAGGCAACAAATATAATCTTCATAAAAGAAAACATATTTGGTTTATTTTTATATTTATTATTTTATTTGGGGGGACTTTTGGAGACAGGGTCTTATACAACCCCAGTTAGCTTTCAGTTCAACGTGTAGCCCAGGATAGTCTTGAACTCCTGATCCACTTCCTAAGTGTTGGAGCTAATGTATGTGCACAACCCTGTAGGGCTTTCTATTTTTCTATTTTCTTCACGGGCGAGAAAGAGACCAAAGGCAAGTTTGTGGAGGTGCTGACTGTCCACTTGTGTTATGTACACTTACTAGTAAGCACTGTTTCCTAGAATCTTCGTTCTGGGAGGCAGGCATCAGTCTCAGCATTTTCAAAGGAGAAACAGTGGTCAGGGCTATTCATGTTTCACCTTGGCCAAAATAGTGAGGAGTGGGTGTGACAATCGGCCCTAGCAGCACAGGAGTACCTGACTCCAGGTAAGGCTCAGAAAATGATTCTGGGTCTTTCCGGCAAACGCGGCCCTTCCCCCAGCGCACACCCAGACCTGGCCCTGGGCTTGCACGCAGCGGTCACGACACCAACCCAGAGCACGAGTGTTCTAAGTGTGTGTGGGGGATCACAAATCCGTGCTCCCGCAGGGAGCGGCGTCCAGCCCCAGGCCAATGAGAGTAGCGGAATTTCTTTCATTGAGCTCGGGGGCCCCCCCGCTCATGCCCGGAAGGGGGCGTGGCGCTGCGCCGGGGGTGGGGCCGTGGCGCGCCAGAGGAGGGCGGGGCCGGCCCTGCGGCTGAGCCAATCGGCGCCACGCCCGGGAGGGGGAGGGGGAACCAGGCCTTTTTTCCCCTCCGCGCGGGACCAATCCCGACTTTACAAGCTTGAACTTTTGCCACCCTCGGACTAGCAAGCACGCCCGAGGAGGTACCCCGCCGCGCCGGCTCCAGGGCAGGAGCGGCCTTAACTCTTCCCGTGCCGGGCCCCCCAAGTCTGTCCCCCAACTTGTTTCATAGTGAAACAAGCTGGTGAAGGCACGTTCCTCCATCCACATACCTCTCGAAGGGGCAGAAAGTAAATCCAAGAATGGAAACGGAAGCCCTCGGCCTTGAGGGGGGCCTGGGACGCCAGGCACCCTGGCGGGAGAGCCCAGGCGACGGAGAGGAGCCATCCAAGAGCAAGAGCATTCCCGCCTCTACCCCACCCTGTCCAAGTCCCCACCTCCGGCTATCCTGGAGCTCCTTTAATCCATAGTGTTCTACAC